AAAAAAATTATTAAAAAAAAAAAAAAGAAAGCCAACAGGCTGTGTCGAGGCTCCCTGCAGCAGGGTCTGGTGCTCAGAGGCAGGGAGGGATAGCACAGAATTGGCAAGGAGTGTCACGGACAGGATGCACCAAGCTGGACCAAATGGAGGAAATATGGGCCAGTGGCTTGCGATGTAGAAAGGAAGAGCCACGAAGGCAGGACTTGTCTCACGCAATGATAGAACCCCAGAGTTAGAACAATGCTTGGTACAGAATCAATATTTACAGCTGACACCCAGTAAATATTTACTGCAAGAAGAAAACGGAAGTCCTGATAATGTTAAAAATAGCTAAAACTACAGTAGCTAAAGAAAAAACTATGAGAAATAGAAGACTTAGGTCAGAACAGGAAAGAAAACATCTTCATTCTTGGGTTTTTAGGCATAAAAAGAATTTCAGGAACTGCCTGTACACTAGCTCCCCCTTATCCGTGGAAGAAACATTCCAAGATCCCCAATGGATGCCTGAAACCACAGACATACCGACAATTCTACCAAACCAAACATACAGGTTTTCACCTATGCATACATACCTGTGATAAAGTCTAATTTACGAATGAGGCACAGCAAGAGATTAACAACAGTAACGAATGAATAATAAACTAGAATAAGTATAACAATACACTGCAATGAAAGTTGTGTGAATATGGTCTCTCTCTCTCTCTCAAAATGTCTTACTGCCCCGTGCTCAGCCTTCTTCTTGTGATGATGTGAGGTGATCGAACGCCCCCGTGAGGAGATGCAGGAGGTGAGAGACGTGGGCGTGTGATGCAGCAAAAGGCTACTACAGACCTTCTGACGATACACTAGAAGGAGGGCCACGTGCTTCTAGACTGGCCAACTGCATGTTTAACTGAAGCTGCAGAAAGCGAAACACCAGGTAACAGGGGACCACTATACTTTGGTAAACACTCATTTATTAGGTTAGCATGCAAGAAAAGAGTTTTAAAGAACTACTGTCCTCATAATTTTTTATTCAAACTACATAATTCTCAGATTATTATACTCTGCAGTCAGGAATGAGAAAGAAAGTGTTCCAAGATTTACTTCAGCTCAGTCGACTCCCCTCTCTTACTAAACGGGAAAAGGTGATGCCAGATACATAATATTCCATTTATCACTCAGTTACTACCCCATTTAATACTCACTGTGATATGATTGTAGATAAGCTGAGACCATCCAAAGAGATCTGCCAGCCGGTAAAATGCTGCCAACTTACACCGCAATAATTTCTCCCCTTTGTCATAGGCGATTGAATCAGATCCTCTCAGGTCATTCACAGGGGTCACCATACCAAGACCTGAAATAGAAGAGAAACAAACTCAAACACTTACTACTTCTTATGAAACTTAAAACAAGTAATAATAATTCTGAGATATTAATCTTCCACACCAGGCCATGAAATCTCAAAAACTTCAGACTATTTCATAAAGATCATGTTCCCCAACATTAATACAATTAAGCTAGAAATCAAGAACAAAACGGTAGCAAAATTTGTGGTATGCAACAAAGCAATGCTTAGAAGAAAACTTCTGGTAGTAAACATATATATTAGAAGAGTTTTTTAAAAAATGATCTGTGTTTCACCTTATGAAACTAAAAAAAAAGAAAACTAAATCCAAAAATAATTAAAAAAAAAAGAATAAGAAGGATAAAAGGAGATATCAATCAAACAGAAAAATAACAGAGGTGGGGCGCCTGGGCGGTGCTGTCGGTTAGGCATCAGACTCCTGGTTTAGGCTCAGGTCATGATCTCAGGGACATGGGATACAGCCCGCACCGGGCTCCACGCTCAGGGGGGGTCTGCTGGAGATTCTCTTTCCCTCTCCCTCTGCCCACCCCCCCAAACACTTGCTCACGTTCTCTCTCTCTCTCAAAAATAAATAAATCTTTAAAAAAAGAAAAAGAACAGAAGAAAATGGATTTAATCTTGAGAAGATAAAAAACAAAATAATGAAATAAAAAGAAATGAAACATGAGGGGCGCCGGGGTGGCTCAGTCATTAAGCATCTGCCTTCGGCTCAGGTCGTGGTCCCAGGGTCCTGGGATCGATCCCCACATCCGGCTCCCTGCTCCGCGGGAGGCCTGCTTCTCCCTTTCCCACCCCTGCCCCAGCTTGTGTTCCCTCTCTCACTGTCTCTCTCCCTCTGTCAAAATAAATAAATAAAATCTTAAAAAAAAAAAAGAAATGAAACATGAAATGAAATAAAACAAAATAAAATACACCTCTAGGCAGACTCAACAAAAGACGGCAGAGGTAGAAGTCACCAGTATGAAGCAATGGAGAGGGGACATCACTACATATCCTACAGACATTAAAAGAATATTAACAGGATAATATGAATTATACCAGAAAATGTTTTAACTTGCACAAAACAGACAAAATCCTAGAGAGACACAAGCTACCAAAGCTCACTCCAGAAGAAACAGACATCCTGAATAGCCCTCTTTCCATTAAGCTGAATTTGCAGTTAAAAATGTTTCCATAAAGAAAACTCCCTGCCCGAATGCAAGCTGATGCAACCACTCTGGAAAACAGTATGGAGGTTCCTCAAAAAGTTGAAAGTAGGAGCTACCATACGATCCAGCAATTGCACTACTGGGTATTTACCACAAAGATACAAATGTAGGGGTCCGAAGGGGTACGTGCACCCCGATGTTTATAGCAGCAATGTCCACAATAGCCAAACTGTGGAAAGAGCCAAGATGTCCATCGACAGATGAATGGATAAAGAAGATATGGTATATATACACCATGGAATATTATGCAGCCATCAAAAGGAATGAGATCTTGCCATTTGCAACGACATGGATGGAACTGGAGGGTGTTATGCTGAGTGAAATAAGTCAATCAGAGAAAGACATGTATCATATGATCTCACTGACATGAGGAATTCTTAATCTCAGGAAACAAACGGAGGGTTGCTGGAGTGGTGCGGGGTGGGAGGGATGGGGTGGCTGGGTGATAGACATTGGGGAGGGTATGTGCTATGGTGAGCGCTGTGAATTGTGCAAGACTGTTGAATCACGGATCTGTACTCTGAAACAAATAATGCAATATATGTTAAGAAAAAAAAAAGAAGATAGCAGGAGGGGAAGAATGAAGGGGAGTAAGTCGGAGGGGGAGACGAACCATGAGAGACGATGGACTCTGAAAAACAAACTGAGGGTTCTAGAGGGAAGGGGGTTGGGGGGATGGGTTAGCCTGGTGATGGGTATTAAAGAGGGCACGTTCTGCGTGGAGCACTGGGTGTTATGCACAAACAATGAATCATGGAACACTACATCAAAAACTAATGATGTAATGTATGGTGATTAACATAACAATAAAAAAATTTAAAGAAAAAGAAAACTCCCTGCCCAGGTGCTTGGGTGGCTCAGTGAGTAAAGTGTCCCACTCTTGATTTCAGCTCAGGCTGTGATCTTGGGGTTGTGGGATCGAGCCCCACATGGGGCTCTGTGCTCAGGATAGAGTCTGCTTGGTATTCTTTCCCTCTCCCTCACCCTCCCCCCTCAGCCTCTCTCCCCTCTGCAGGAGCTCCCTCTCTCTAAAATAAATAAATAAATAAAATCTTTTTTAAGAAAAAGAAAACTCCAGGCCCAGGTGACATCAGCGTGAATTCTACCACACGTTTAAGTAAAAAATAATACCAATTCTATACAAATTCTTCTCAAAAAGTTCTACACAAATTCTTCCAGAAACATGTTCAAATCCACCCTATTAGGCCCAACATTACCTTGTTATCAAAACCATACAAAGACATTATGTTGCATGACATCACAAGAAAAAACAGACCAGTATCTCTCATGAACAGAGACTAAAAATTACTTAACAAAATTTTAGCAAATAGTCCAGCAATAAATAGAATAACACATCATGATAGGAGTAAGAGGGGATTATCTCAGGCATACAAAATTGGTTCAGCATTCAAAAAGCAATAAATATAATTCACTATATTGAACTAAAGAAGAAAAACCATGGGATCATTTTAATAGATACAGGAAGAGAATTTCACAAAATTCAACATCCATTTAGGATAAAACCTCTCCACAAATTAGGAATAGAAGGTAATGTCCTCAACTTGATAAGGGACATCAACAAAAAACCTACCACTAACATAATGATGAAAGACTAAATGTTTTTCTCCCAAAATCAGGAAGTAGGCAAGAATGTATACTCGGGCATTCTTATTGAATACTACACTGGGGATTCTCACCCATGCAATAAGGCAAGAAAAAGGAAAACAAACAAGCAAAAACATATATACAGGAAAGGAAGGGGAAAAAAAAGTATTTGCATGACTCCTCATTACATGTTGCTAGATTTGAATCTTTCCTTGTTAATTATAAACTATCTTAAGCATACAGAAAAATATAGAGAATAATACAAAAACCACCTATTATCTTGATTTAACATAGGTCAACCACCTACTTTAGATCTTTAATTCTTAAAAATTGCTTTTTAGAAGAGTTTCAGAAGATGGTAGCAGTGACAGTATAGTTTTTGAATCTTACTAAATCTCTATCCCAACCCTACACAAAAAAATTAGCTAGACCAACTAAGATATCAAAGCCAAAAACCTAAGGATGATATCTACAACACTAGGTAATAAGGTAGACCCACGAAACTGAAAATATAATTGGGTAGGATTGATATAGACAGAGTGTAGGACATCAGCATCTCCGTAGGAGGAAGCAGAGGGAATCATGGGCCATTTGCCAAACTCCCAAAAGAACCATCAGGAACTTACTACAAAGCTCAGAGGGCCAATTTGAGAACAGCAGCTGAAACCAAGAGTTCTGCACACTTAAATCCTTAAAAATTATCTAAACTAGCCATTTAAAATTGATTTTCAGGACAAAGTCTCACACTAAGAAATTTGTGGTAATTAGAAACCAAACCGACTAGCACAGAGCTATAAAGAAAACAGGCGAAGAGTCCAGATAAAAGCAAGGAAGGGGAACAGAACACAATTGCTTCGATAAACTGCCATATTTTGTAGCACTTCACAAAAACAACAGAAGAGGGAGCTCTAGAGCCATGACATTAGAAAAGCTTTCCTGAACCAGAATCCTCCAAGAAAACTAATTTCACGTAATAATGAACAGAAAGGGGTGCCTGGGTGGCTCAGTCTAAGCACCTGCCTTCGGCTCAGGTCATGATCCCAGGGTCCTGGCACTGAGCTCCACCACTGGGCTCCGTGCTCAGTGGGCAGTCTGCTTGTCCTTCACCCTCTCCTTCTGCCCCTCTCTCCCCGTTTGTGCTCTCTCTCTAAAATAAATAAACTCTTAAAAAAAAATGAACAGAAAAATATCATGATCAAATACCATACAAAAATTATATCAAGAAAAAAGAGCAGAGGGGCGCGTGGGTGGCTCAGTCGGTTGAGCGGCTGCCTTCGGCTCAGGTCATGATCCCAGGGTCCTGGGATCCAGCCCCGCGTCGGGCTCCCTGCTTGGCAGGGAGCCTGCTTCTCCCTCTCCCTCTGCCTGCCTCTCTGCCTACTTGCTCTCTCTCTGTATCTCTCTTCCAAATAAATAAATAAAAATCTTAAAAAAAAAAAAAAAGAAAAAGAAAAAAGAGCAGAATCACATCCCTACAGATAGAAAGACATGTCCACAAAACAGATGAAAACTATAAACTGTTATTTCATAACATGGTAAAGAAAGGTATTAAGAAAATAATAAAAGATAGGGAAAAACATTTAATATAACTGGAAAAACTCAGAAATGAGGGCTAGAACATAAAAGGAATTAGATATAAATGAAAATATAATTTTAAAAATAAATACTAAACTCAAAGTAGGAGAAAAGAATGTGAAAAGGAAAATTTTTTTTAAATCATAAAGAAATGAAGCAATAAACTGGACTTGAGAACAAGCAACAGTTAAAGAAGACAAAGAAACTCCAACATGCACACAACAGCCTTTGGGCAGTAGGAAACAAAAGGGAACAGGATGAACACTAAAAACCAATTCAATGTTGCTATAACACAAAGGATCTGGAAGAGCATGTCATCTGAGAAAATTAACCAGGATGACTGATGCTGAGACATATTCTGGTAAAACTGCTGGTCTCTAAAGAAAAAGCAAAGTACTCTGAACATCCAGGAAAAGAGACCAAGTCACCTACATGGAAAGATTATCTTCAATTTTAATAGCAATGCTTTGAGCCAGAAGAAAATTAATTATCTATTTAAAATACATAAAATAGGAAATGTGAGTCTAGAGTCTAACTAACCAAACCAAATTCATATTGACACATAAAGGCCACAGCATGCAAGAACTCAGAGTATTGTTTCCACAAGCATTTACTGAGAAGGCTACAAAAGGCACTTCAGAGAACCAAAATGACTAGGGGTACACTGATACGAGGATGGTGCTGAGCATTAAATATATATTTATTACAGAATGAAGTTATTAATTATAATACTAAATGAGTGTTATAAGAGGGAGGTCATATTGTGTAATGGTTATATGCTCTGACAACATATAATGTAACTATTTTCAATCATGAAAAGAGAACATATTATTGGTAGAGTATTGCTACTGTGTGTGATGTACGGGAAAAACAAATGAGTGATTATGTAATATTCTGGTTTTGTTATTCCCGTTGTCCTTAAAAACCAGAATTCTTGTTGTGGAAGAGAGGAATGTAAACGTTAGAAGAGATCAGGTAAAAACTCCTTAGTACCGAATTTTAATTGAAATTATGAGTATAATTCCACTATATACTTAAAATTCCAATGTGCCAACAATACGCCATATAATTCACAAGGTAATATATTTCCTAGTTCTATCCACTAAAAAGGCCTAGAAAAAATGACTAACCCAGTAGCAATGAGTATTCCCTAGTACCCAGACTAATTTCCATTTCCCACAAAAACAAAGATTTCTTTTTGAAATGGCCGATTCCAGACCTGGGGCAGGAAATATACTCAGTGACAGCCTAGAACATCTCTTCACAGGGGATGGCCTGGAAAGTCAAAGACTAGTAGGCTCAGGAGTCAACTTGGAGGGACTTCCACTGATCAGAAAGGATAACTGTAATGTTCTGAAACACATTAAGTATACTGAAATCTATGAGTCCAAAATAATACTAAAAAATAATAATTGGTCATCTTAGAAACAATGACAGGAAACCAACTTATTTTGAAAAGGGTATATATAAACCGTACCACTGGGTAACCAAAAAAAGTTGAGGAAGCTCCTTTTCTTGTGTGCATACCTGATTTTTTTTTAAGGTTTTATTTATTTATTTGAGAAAGAGAGGGAAAGCAAGAGAGAGAGAGTGCACACTAGCAGGGGGAGGGGCAGAGGGAGAGGAGAAACGGGCTCCCTGCTCAGCTGGGAGGTTCCCCTCGAACACGCAATGAGTGATAGGGAAGGGCGTGGCCCCTTTCCAGCTATGCCCCATTTCCAGGGAAGTTTCTCTTTATAGAAATATTCTAGTTAATAAATACAAAGGAGAGGGGTGCCTGGGTGGCTCAGATGGTTAAGCGTCTGCCTTCGGCTCAGGTCATGATCCCAGAGTCCTGGGATCGAGTCCCGCATCGGGCTCCCTGCTCCTTGGGAGCCTGCTTCTCCCTCTGCTTCTCTGTCTCTCTCCGTCTCTAATGAATAAATAAATAAAATCTTTACATAAATAAATAAATAAATAAATAAATAAATAAATACAAAGGAGGAATGATAGCATTAAAACATCACCATCTTGGACCCTTTATTAAGTTAATGGACCTACATACTGAGCATCAATGGCTGCTAAGAATGCAAAAAGAACAACCAGACTATGTGCCTACTGACAGAACACAGAACCACCTACAAAGAGGCTTTGCCAAAAAACTGAATCCAAACACAATCAAGCATCTAGATCCAACTACCAACTTACTGTAAATACAAAAGACAAAAGAACATATTACCAGTACCATGGAGATGGAATCAGCAAAATTCAGACCATAGCAAATTCTACAGGTCAGCAAACCCATTTTATTTTTTTTAAAGATATTATTTATTTATTTGTCAGAGAGATGGAGAAAGAACACAAGCAAGGGGAGCAGCAGGCAGAGGGAGAAGCAGGCTCCCTGCTGAGCAAGGAGCCCGATGCAGGACTTGATCCCAGGACTCTGGGATCATGACCTGAGCTGAAGGCAGACATTTAATCGACTAAGCCACCCAGGAGTCCCTCTTTATTTTTTTTAAAGATTTATTTATTTATTTGAGAGACAGACAGAGAGAGAGAGAGAGAGAGAGACACCAAGCGCGAGAGGGGGGAGGGGCAGAGGGAGAGAGAGTCCCAAGCATCTCCTCACTGAGCAAGAAGCCCGACGTCGGGCTCAATCTCACAGTTCTGAGATCATGACCTGAGCCGAAATCAAGAATCGGACATTCAACTGACCTAGCCACCCAGGCACTCCTCCTCCTTACACATTAACTTTAAAGAAAATGGGTTTGGGGCGCCTGGGTGGCTTACTCGGTTTGGCCTCAGACTCTAGGTTTCAGCTCAGGTCATGATCTCCGGGTGGTGAGACTAAGCCCTACATTAGGCTCTGTGCTCAGCAGGGAGTCTGCTTGAGATTCTCTCCCTCTCCCTCCCTCTCCCTCCTCCTCCCTCTGCCTTTCCCCTGCCCCCACATGCGTACCCGCCCCTCTCTAAAAATAAATAAATAAATGTTAAAAAAAAAAAAGAAAAGAAAATGTAAGGAGGGAAAAAAAAGAGAGATAAAGGGTTAAACTGTAGCCTGGAAAAGGCTAAAGAGATAGTACTAAAAAAAGACAAAAACTAAACCCTAATATTTAGGGATGACCATTTGGGTAATGAAACCATGAAGAAAAGCAAGGCAGTAGTTACAAGTCAAGATGGAGGTTCCTGGGATGCCTAGCTGGTTCAGCTGGTGCAACGTGTAACTCCTGATCTCCAGGTTGTGAGTTTGAACCCCACGGTGGGTGTAGGGATTACTTAAAAATAAAATTAATGGATCTACGTATTGTGTATCAATGGCTGCTAACAACGCCTGGGTGGCTCAGTCCGTTAAGCATCTGACTTCAGCTCAGGTGATGATCTCACAGTCTTGGGATCAAGCCCCGCATTGTCGGGCTCCCTGCTCAGTGGGGAGCCTGCTTCTCCCTCTGCCCCTCCACCTGCTCATGCTCTCTCTAATAAATAAATAAAATCTATTAAAAATAAATAAATTTGGGGTGCCTGGGTGGCTCAGTCGGTTACGTGTCCACCTTCGGCACAGGTCATGATCTCAGGGTCCTGGGATCGAGCCCCGCGTCAGGCTCCCCACTCAGCAGGAAGCCTGCTTCTCCCTCTCCCACTCTCCCTGCTTGTGTTCCCTCTCTCGCTGTGTCTCTTTCTGTCAAATGAATAAAGAAAATCTTTTTTAAAAAATAAATAAAAATAAAAAATAAATAAATTTTTAAAGTAAAATAAAATCTTTTAAAAAGATAGCGTTTCCTTCCAAGAGGATGATAGGGGAGAGGCAAGCAATCAATACCCTTAATTTCTTTCTTAACCTGGGTGCGCGTTATGAAGGTGTACACCTTAATATCATTGGCAAGTTACACATCATTTGTTCTATGCCATCTATATATATTTTACAACAAAGGTTGTAATAATTTGTTTTTAAAATTTGTATCTTGAAGAAACATACTATTAGATATAATTAAAATTAATTAGATTTCTTCCTCTTTTTTTGGTGTGGCATTACTGCCATAAAATTTCCTTTTCTCTAATTAGAAGACAACAATATGCAAGTAAATACATTACATCATCCTGTTATCTAATTCATACGAAACAGCACTAGAATCCATTAAGAATCGTGTGAACATAAGAAAACCTGATTACAGGGGCACCTGAGTGCCTCAGTCATTAAGTGTCTGCCTTCGGCTCAGGTCATGATCCCAGGGTCCTGGGATCGAGCCCCACATCAGGCTCCCCGCTCAGTGGGAAGGCTGCTTCTCCCTCTCCCACTCCCCTTGCTTGTGTTCCCTCTTTCACTGTCTCTCTCTCTGTCAAATAAGTAAATAAAATCTTAAAAAAAAAAAAAAAAGAAAACCTGATTACAGTTTGACTTGAGAGTAAAAGTTTGAGCTAGTAAATGAAACGTTATTCTTCATCACTTGGACATTAACAATGCATCACTCTGGTGGGTCTCAGTCAACTTTTTTTTTTTTTTTTTTTCTCAGTCAACTTCCAAGAATACCATGGAACTGACAGGGAAATAGCAAATGCCTGGTGACCTAACAGAAACCACTGGCATATGCTGGCCCATCAGAAGCTGACTATCCAACTGCAACTGTCAGATATCGGTCCAGGACGCAGTACACAGTAGGTCAGAGCGGCTACCCTGGGTTCACCCTGTCATGTTAACGTTTACAAATTCAACAGCCATGGCAAAGCTCCTCCACCTCTGCACAGCTAACCATTATCTGCTCATGTTCACCCATCCAACATTCTCCCCCCGGCTTGCTTTTGGAATTTCTGTTTCTCACCCACTTGCAAGCAGCAGTAAGGAATGGTAGACAGATGCTGGCCTGGCTGAAATAAGTACAGGCAAAATTAATGTGCTACTCCACAAGCACTGTTTCTGATTAATTTTAGTTCACAAAGGGTCTGAGAAGCCATACAAAAACTCATCGGCCTGAGAAAGAACAGTCTTGTTGGCTCATAAAAAAGGGAGCCATCTCGGCGCGTCTGGCTCAGTCGGTGAAGCGTCGGCCTCCGGCTCAGGTCATGATCCCAGGGTCCCGGGATCGAGTCCCGTGTCGGGCTCCCTGCTCAGCAGGAAGTTGCTTCTCCCGCTCCCTCTCTCCCTCTGTGCGCATGCTCTCTCTCTCTCAAATAAAATCTTTAAGAAAAAATAAAAAGTTTTAAAAAAGGGAGCCCTCTACACTGAAGACATTTTCAGACTTACAGCCTTTCACTCTAACTAAAACATTGATTTTCAAAAAACTCAATTCTATGTATTACAATGTAAACTGATCTATTTCACACGAGAACAGGAAATGTAAGCCTACAAAATAACGGAATGTGTACGCAGAGTCAGGAACTACTCACTCATGTTCAAGGCCGCCATCCCCCCTTGTGGAGCTGCGGGATAGACGTTCGGTACGTTCGCGGTCATGAAATCTGCAATTTGCTGTAGTGCCAACAGGCCTGTGGGGTTCTTCCCCTTCTTAAATTGTTCCTGTATCATCGATTCCAACTCTTCACAGAAAGCCTAATAAAAGGCAAATTAAAACAGTGAGATGCTACTTCTCCACGCCTTGGGAAGACAGAGGTAACTATCACACAGACTGCCTTTTTGTTTGTTTTCATCAAGGGCTCGAAAAGTAAATGGACATTCTCATATATTACTACTTGGAGCATCAACTGCTACATTATTTCTAGAAAGTAATGTAAACAATACAAAAGCTTAAAAATCTGAACAGTCAATCTATCGCTAACAATCTTTTCGAAAGAAATAATCAGGGATATGCTAAAAGATGAATTCATATGGATGTTCATTCCAGCAGGACTGACAAAAGGGAAAGCAGGTAATAACAGTCGACATATTAAACTGTAGAAAACTGATTACACACACACGGATCCACCTTACGATGGAATTCTATGCACACGGTCAACATGAAAGGCTGAGAAAAACTAAATGACATAAAATTGCTCTTGATATATTTTTGATTGTGAAATGGTTCTAAATCAACAGAATCAGTGTTTTTTAAGAGTGAATATGTATCTAAACATAGAAGACTAAAGTAAATACATCCAAATGTTCACTATAATTATCTTAGTGATGGAATTATTAGCAATTTTCATGTTCTTTTCTTCAAAATAGTTTTTTTAAAATAGATTCTCTTAGTTACTTTTTAAAAGTTGAAAAAGAGATCCTAAAACAATCATCCTTTATCAAATAATCCTAATTTTTTTAAAAGGATCCTAAATTAGGCAAAAGGATTAAGTTGGGTTGATGGTAATTTAATATAAAGTCACTACTGAAACAACAGAAGTTAATTTATAGCTTTGCTTTCCCAAACCGCATGGAAGTAATTTTTCACATATCCTATAAAGAAATATCTTACCAAATAAATACTATTTAATATGAAAGTGTGAGCTCACTGAATGAACGTCCACATCTAATTATAAACACTCTGAGGGTTTCTGGATGATTCTGTATTAAACTGCTAGTTTTTCACTGCTTGAATGAAAAGATGAAAAGATATAATGCCCAGGGAGAGTCCAAGCATAGCTATCACTTGCAGGAAGCAACACACGTATGACATTTAATACAATGGTGTAAAAGAACGTAAAGAACGAGAGCTGCCGGAGGAGCCCGTTTACCATATGACAAATGTCACAGATCATATTCTGTGGGAGTCAAGGAGGGAGGAGAAAGCTGACAGGGGCTTTGACTGCCAAGAAGAAGTCAATCAACAAAACACAGTTACTCAGCCATCTTTGTTACCAACACCAAAGGCAATGATACAGACAGATATGCAGACACAGGATAAAGGGGTACAGACAGATGCAGAGAGCCCCACTGAAGGTCACAGAGCACGCTGGGCACACAGGATGCAACAGTTGCATAAAACGAGCCCCATCCTCACGGGCCCTCAATCTGAAAAATCAAGCCATCTATTTCCACAGTTTCCAAATCCACAGATGTACCTATGGGAAGCTCAATTTAACATACATGTACCATGTATGTACACCACACTACAACTCAGCACACGTACGTAAGTATGAGGTGCTGTTCTAGGCACCGAAGACACGCAGCTAGAAAAAATGGTCCTTGCCGTCACGGAACGTAAAGCTTAGCATGTAATACACAGAAAGAAAACCAGGGTGCAAGAAGCCCTCCATATCCACAGCATCCCTGACGACCTACATGTGCTGAGTAAGGAGCTGAGTGTAGCAGTGGCCATTGAGGGTCTGGAGCCACTGGCCAGTGACCCTGTGTGCTACCTTGATACCAACTCCCGATGGTTCAACATCCACACCCTCATCTCTCAGCGAACTGCCTGCCTCGCCTCCAATGACCCTGTCCTCCAACTCACCCGGGCATCCCACGTGCATGAGCATGTCCTGGACATGCTCTTGCCTAGTAAACTGTGCCCCAAGCATGGGTTCCCCAAACACCCCCTCCTAGCATCCAGCTCACGATTTCAACTCCATCGTGACCCCAACACCTGTCCACCATCCCTTACCTTACCTGCGTCCTGACCTCCCTCACCCAGCTTAAAGCCTTGGTTTAACATTATAATCATCCCTTGCTCACATCTGCAACTCTCTACCATTTCACCTGGCAAAACTCCCAACCCTGGTTAAATTCAACCCTTCACTCTTTCTACACATGCGGCTGAAAGTGGCTGGAGCAGGGGGAAGGGGGACGAGGAGACCATGCTGTGTCATCTCACTATAAATTCATGACCCTAACCTGAGTGTGCCCTTCACACTAACCCAAGGACAGTCCATCCCCTCACCCACTCTCACACCTTCTCTCTCCTCACAACTGCCTGGGCCCGTTCTCAGCAGGTGACCCCACTTATGATTCCCTGAGAACAGAGGATCAGCCTGAAGAAAACTCTCTCAAGCTCCCTCCAGCATCTTTCCAACCATCAGCATCTGTGCCCACAGGGTGGGCTTTCTCACTGCCTACAGTGGCTCAACTCTTATGCTCCTAAAACCAAGAATCCAGCACCAGTACCTTACTAGGAAGCAATCCCAGGCTTTCTGGTCTATCAGCTTATCATTCAGATCCATGACCACTGATGCTGACTATGTGTGTCCTAGACGACCTGTGGATGGGGGCCTGTACAGCACCCACACACACTAGGGTGCCGTAAGCTTACTTTCTGCACTCTGCCCCCAGTGATGTTTACTTCGTTTCCTGTGGCTTTTACATAGCAAACTGCTCAAGCCAAAAGTCTAGATGTTCCCTGATTTCTTTCTTTCCTCTTACCTCTTCCTTGCCACCCATCAGCAAGTTCTACTGATCCTACCCTCAAAATAAAATTCAGAATTTTACTGCAACCTCCTGCTTGGAAGACGGCTTTCTCTCTTGCCCCATACAGTACTTTTTCTTTCTTTTCTTTTTTTTTAAGTAGGCTCCACACCCAAAGTGGGGCTTGAACTCACAACCCTGAGATTAACAGTCACATACTCTACAGACCGAGCCAGGCAGGCATCCCTTCAATACTCTTTCTACACCAAACCCAGCATGAGTTCTCTAAAAACTAAATCGCGCCAGGGGCACCTGGGTGGCTCAGTAAGTTAAACATCTGACTCTTGATTTCAGCTCAGGTCATGATCTCAGGGTCGTGAGACTGAGCCCAAGTCCGGCTCCAGCTGGGTGTGGAGCCTGCTTAAGATTCTCTTGCTCACGCTGCACCCCCTACCCCCTACCCTCTGCTCACACGCTCTGTCTCTCTAAGAAAAGAAAATAAAACTGAATAGCGCTATTCCTGTCTGCAGCCCCCTGATGATTCTACTCTGAATGCAAAACAAACTCCTGACCCGAGTCTACAGAGCCTTCCAGGACCTGCCCCCTCCCTGACGCCTCCTGTGCTCAGACCACACTGGTGCCTTCTGACTCTCCAAGCCCATCCAGCTCATCCCTAAACTAGGGATTTCACTAGCTGCCCCTCAACTGGAACACTGCTCCCCCCATCCCTGCAGGGCCGGCTCCTTCCGCTCATTCAGATTCAGGTGAAACCTCCCTTCCTCAGAGAGGCCGGTTCCACCACCACTCAATCTAATCACCCCACTGCTTCCCACACTGAGCTTCTGTTTGTTGTTTCTTGTTACACCTCCTTCGAGGAGGGTGTGAAGTCTGAGACTTGGCCCAGGTGCTTACATAGGTGTTCTACACATGTCGGAATTCACCAAGCTGTACACCTAAGATCTGCATACATTCCTCCTAAGTTATACTTCCACAATGTGCAGAGTAATAATAACCAAACAAAACCTATTAGAGTCAGAGGGCTTATGTGTCCTGTTCACTGCTAACTCTCCAGGTTCTCTGAACAGTGTACAAAAGATAATCAAACATTAAAAAAAATTCAGTGAGGGCGCCTGGGTGGCTCAGTCGGTTAAGCGACCGCCTTTGGCTCAGGTCATGATCCTGGAGTCCCGGGATCGAGTCCCGTATCGGGCTCCCTGCTCAGCGAGGAGCCTGCTTTCTCCCTCTAACCCTCCCCCCTTTCGTGTACTCTCTCTCTCTCTCACTCTCTCAAAATAAATAAATAAATAAATCTTAAAAAATAAATAAATTCAATGAATATCTGCCAAATGACACCCCGAAGTTTTTAAGGGAACAAAACAAGATTAGAAGGGAAAAAAAGAATAAAGCACATCCAAGGGCAGCAGCACAACATGAGGAGCGATGGAGACAGAACTCCTTTACGTCAGGACGCAAACAGAAGACAGCGGGCACGCTTGTGGTTTAAAGTGCTCATGTCACAGGCGCCTGGGGGGCTCAGTCGTTCAGCATCTGCCTTCGGCTCAGGTCATGATCCCACAGTCCTGGAATCGAGCCCCACGTCGGGCTCCCTGCTCAGTGCGGAGTCTGCTTCTCCCTCTGCCTCTGCCCCTCCCCCTGCTCATGCTCTCGCTCTCTCTCTCGAATATATAAAATCTTAAAAAAAAAAGAAGTGCTGGTGTCACTAAAGGTAAAACCAATCAATGAGGTCCTGTTAGCGCCTACTAAGTGCCTGGCACCAAAGCAAGTCGGTCTGGAGGGAAGAGTTATTTTTTTTATTTTTTTTTTATTTTTTTAAAGATTTTATTTATTTATTTGAGAGAGAGAGAATGAGAGATAGCACGAGAGGGGGGAGGGTCAGAGGGAGAAGCAGACTCCCTGCTGAGCAGGGAACCCGATGTGGGACTCGATCCCGGGACTCCAGGATCATGACCTGAGCCGAAGGCAGTCGCTTAACCAACTGAGCCACCCAGGCGCCCCGGGAAGAGTTATTTTTAAAGGGTCCCAAAATAAAGAGACTCTCTGGAGAAGTAGTGAGAGGGTAAAAAGGAGAAGCAAGCACCTCCTCTCCTTTATGACACTGAAGATCTCTTTTATTCTGCCTGATAACTTGAACTGAACAGAATTCTTCCCATGCACATACACACGAGGCGCAGACTTCCAAGGTGGGAATGCAGGAACTCTGGCACACACAAGAGAGCTAAGAGCTGAAGTATCAGAGAAGGAAAAAGACCCTTGTACAGAGAGAAGGTTTCTCTTACAGGACTCTGCAGGATCATGGACACCCTCTTCTTCTGCTCCATCATATTGAAGTCCTGGCGAAGGTCCGGTGCCATGTTCCTCTCTCGCAAATACTCTGGATTGTTCTCATCCACCCTGTCGAAGTACCGCTCCTTGTGAGGGGCTGTGGTTGGGGGTGGTGAGGTCACCACGGCGGCCCGAGTGTCACCATTCATTGCACACTCTTTCTTGGTTCCTACAGAATCAAAATACAAGAAAGTCTTGTGTTTGAATCAATGTCCAATAGCATTTCATCACAAGCACATCAGCCTGACAAACACAATCTTCAGTGTGAGAACATTATGAGTGACTAGTCAGAGCCATGACGTGCGAGGCTTCTTTGTGACCTCGGAGGCGCATGGCTCATCAGCCATCTCCCACCCTTCTACTGACCAATGGCATTTTTCATCCTCACCTTTGTTCTTGGGCAGACAACAGGAGAACAAGCTCACAAAGTTTTTATGTCCTCTGTCAAACTGAAAAAGAACTAGGTACTGAAATTTTTAAAAAGATTTTATTTATTTATTTGTCAGAGAGAGAGAGCACACGAGCAGGGGAAGTGGCAGAGGCAGAAGGAGAACCAGGCTCTCCACTGAGCAGGGAGCCCCATGTGGGACTCGATCCCAGGACCCCGGGATCATGACCTGAGCCAAAGGCAGGCGCTTAACCAACTGAGCCATCCAGGCGCCCCGAAATACTGAATTTTGACAAGATAGTTTAAGTCATGATGCTGTCCCAGACAGACAGACAGGACCTACCAACAGCAACACAATTCATTTCTGGAGAAATCTGATTTATGTTATTTTCCCAAAAATGTGTCAGTAGTGATTCTGCAAAAGATTCTCCAAACAGATCAATAAGAAAGCTGCTGCTCCCGGGGCACCTGGGTGGCTCAGTTGTTAAGTGTCTGCCTTCGGCTCAGGTCATGATCCCAGGGTCCTGGGATCGAGCCCTGCATCAGGCTCCCTGCTCGGCGGGAAGCCTGCTTCTCCCTCTCCCACTCTCCCTGCTTGTGTTCCCTCTCTCACTATCAAATAAATAAACAAAATCTTAAAAAAAAAAAAAAAAGCAGCTGCTCCCACATCTGTATTCATGCAGACAGGAAATGCTCCTCATCAGATCACCTTTTCAGTTGAAAGAACAGCAGGTACTGAAAATGTCAACACGCCCTAATTTGTGACTAACCTAAAAGATGCCCAAATGACTCAAATTTAAAGGTCTGTTATTATGGCTACTTAACTCTTTTTAATCCCACTCTTTTATTTGAAATGATGTTCAAATACTAAATTATATTCATCTTTAACTACTAAATCTCTAAAGAGCATCCTTCACTAAGCATACAGAGTTTCATTTCTATTGCTGACAGCTCTAACTACATATATGAAGTATTTACTGAGCATCTATTACGTCTCGCCACTGGGCCAGGCACAAAAAGTGATCAGACACTGTGCTCACCTTGAGGAAGTTGGGCTCACGGACTCACTGAGAAGGGAAGGGGGTCGGTTCAGAAGTGATCAGTACAGAGGCCGCAGCTAAGGCCGGAGAGGAGAGAAGCTGGCTAGCGGAACAGGGAGGGAGAAGGAGCAGAACCAGCACCTGGGGCAGTGCCCCACACTTAGCAGTATACAAATAAACACTCTTTGAATCAATTAAGAACAAGAAGGGAAGGATGAAGAGACAAGGTGAGAGAGACTCAGGAGCCACACGCAGAGTTGTAATGGTGAGTGGACGACAAGTTCCTCAGGCCACACAGGGTGAGCAAGGAAGAGATTTTAAAGAGTTGATTAAATGAGCAGCTCAAACGGAATCAGTGCCCTTTCCTTACACGGCACATAAAAATTCATTCCAGATGGGGCACAGGCCTAAACAGAACAGCAAAATCTATAAAATTCTTAGAAGAAGACACAGGAGTAAATCTACGAGACTTCGGGTCAGGCACGGTTTTATGTGACATCAAGAGGACAAGCAACAGGAAGAAAAAGAAAAGATAAATTGCACTTCCTCAAAATTAAAAATGTCTGTGCTTAAAGGACACATAAGTAAAGAGAGAACTACTACAGGATGGGAGGAAGTATTTGAAAATCATGTATCTTTGAAGAGATCTACATCCAGAATGTATAAAGAACTCTTATAACTTAGTCATTACAATCAATTAAAAAAAAAAAAACAACGTGAAAACCATCACGCGGCCTCAGCGGACACCACAAAGAACACAAGAGCTGAGCAGCTAAGGCTGCCCACGTTCCTGACGCACAAAATCATGAGACATGAATAAGAAAATAACGACTTTAAGCTGGGAAGGCCCCGGCCGGCTGGTTACCCTGCAACAGAGCGCTGAAACGCTGGTGATGAGGCGAGGGAGAAGCCATCGGCCCTCACGTGTCCCGGCCCTCTGCCGTCCCTGTGTGGGCCCACTACTGCTGCCCTCACTTGACACGTGAGGGGACACAGGTCAGTCAGCTAGGAAGCAGCGGGGCTAGGGCTCAAACTGCTGGCCATCTGGCAGCAGCGCTTTTGTTCTTCACCTCAAAGCCATACTGTAAGTAGTGAGGAGGACAGCGGCTGGGGCAGAAGCTGCAATGCAGGGAACAATGGCCCCAAAGGGATGAGAAGGGATGAAATCAAGGGCCTGAGATTCTGCAGGTCTCTCGAGCTCCCAAGTCTTACCAATGTCACTGAACTTGGACCACAACGGGAATAGCAAGGCTTTAAAGAAGAGTTTATATAAAAATATCTTATGGTACCAACAGCCAAAGAATCAGCTGGAGGAAACCCCCCCTTTTTTTAAGACAAATCAATTTGGATATTGCTCTTCTGAAACCTAAAGATATGACAGAAATAACAGTATGCTTAAAGTGGCACTATTTCAAGGACTCAAAGACGAAGTATGAAAACATCAGGGACTAAAAGTCAACGCAGAATAAATAAACCAAGGACCCGAATGTAGTCGTTAAAACTTACTCTTCTCTAAATGTATCCTTTAAATTTTTAGTTTAATCTGTTCACTGTAATCTAGTTTGTTCTTAAAGAATGACACAAAGAACAAAACAATGGTTGTCTGACATTTCTTCAACAGATGTAAAAGAAGCTGAACATTCTGAGCCAATGACACAAAGGTTCTACTTCAGTGTCTGAAAAACAAGAAAAGGAGAAGAATATACAGCATTGTTATTTCTCTGTCACGAAATGAGTCCCCATCTGAAGCTATTTTCACCAGTGAATGAGCACCCGGGCAACAATGAAGAGGCAATGGTAGCCGTTTCTTGTCCCAGAGCTAACACATGGAATCTCTGAAAAATGAGATAAGGCAGACACCGCTCTTTTTATGACAGCTGCTGTACAAATGGGGTGAGATGAAGACTGCAGACTAGATATGCATGTGTTCCTTCCCTCAACAAGGAAGTCTCTAAACTGAAATCAAAGTACACATATTCTGAGCCCAGTAATCAAGAAAAAACATCATTCCATTTTTATAGCACACACCTGTACTTAGTTTTTGTCAATTACGCCTTCAACTTTCATTAACCTAGTTTTTAAGAGCATGTTAAGACAGCAAATTTTTCTAGAAAGATCTCTACAAATAAGTTATTACTTAATCCAAATTTTTTAAAAAGAAATGGGAAAATACAGATGTAAAAAAAAAAAATTCTGGGGCGCCTGGGTGGCTCAGTTGGTTAAGCGACTGCCTTCGGCTCAGGTCATGATCCTGGAGTCCCGGGATCGAGTCCCATATCGGGTTCCCTGCTCAGCAGGGAGTCTGCTTCTCCCTCCGACCCTCTTCCCTCTCATGCTCTCTATCTCTCATTCTCTCTCTAATAAATAAATAAAAAATAAAAAAAAGTCTGGCAACATTAGAGTATTTTAAAATAATTTAAAAGGTATTGGGGCGCCTGGGTGGTGCAGTCAGGCATCCAACTCTTGATTTTTCTGTTTTTTTTTTTTTTAAGATTTTATTTATTTGACACAGAGAGAGAGAGCACAAACAGGGGGAGCGGCAGAGGGAGAGGGAGAAGCAGGCTTCCCGCTGAGCAGGGAGCCCAATGCACGACTCGATCCCAAGACCATGGGATCATGACCTGAGCCGAAGGCAGACACTTAACCGACTGAGCCACCCAGGCGCCCCCCAACTCTTGATTTCAGCTCAGGTCATGATCTAGGGGTTGTGAGACTGAGCCCTGATTCAGGCTCCACACTCAGCAGGGAGTCTGCTAGAGATTCTCTCTCTCTCCCGCTCTCCCCATCCCCCCATGCTCACTCACTCCCTCTCTAATAAATCTTTAAAAAATAATAATATAATAATCTGAAAGGTAGTAACAAGCCCACTAGCTGTAAACGTCTAACAGTACACTACTGGTCACAAAATCAAATATTAAAATTTGCTCAATGCAATATTTTGAAGTTATAAAGATCTTTGGCATAACATACATAAGAGATTATAACATTTAAGTGAAAAACTGTAAAATTTCCTATTCTATTCTGTAATCTTATCACTACTATAATTATGACGACACAGACAAGATGATACAATGGCAAATGAGCTGCGCTAAAGCTGAATAAACTGATTAAAGAGATGTGTGGATCAGTGTTTCTCTATCTCGATCAAGCTGCTATAATTTTACCTGTGTAAAAATTTTAAGATTTCACTAATCTTAGTATGTTGCTACCTAAATCAAAGGAACCTTGGGAACAATCCTTTCAAATAAACACACACACACTCAACAGAACCCAAAGGTCTGGATGAACCCTGACAACTGAGCTTGGCCTGTCCACGTGACATTTCACATCCACCCTGCCCACGTCCCTCCTGGACACACAACAGCCTCCTCATTAGTTTCTCTATTCCTTGTCTCCCAACAACCCCCTCACCAACCCATTCCCCCAGAGAGACCAGGGAGTTTCAAGATTATGCCTGATGTCAGCACTCACTCCCCTGCTTAACACCTGATGGCTAATAAAAGGACTGTGGCTGAGTCCTGATCTAAATCTAAAAATGACATTTGAGAGAGACATCTGAACACCAACCAGACCTGGATGGCATTAAGGAATTATTATTAAAAGTTTTAGGTATGATATTATTATAGTTATATTAGATATATAAGATACATGCAGAAATACTTATAGATGAAATAATAAATTACCTAAAGCTTCTCGGGGTGGCGGGGGGGAGTACGGATTACACAAAACAAACCA